TGAATGTGAGCAAAGAATGTCAGACCTGAGTTTGCACGGTGGCCAACAAACTATAGGTAATGAAATCCAGTTTCACTGGAAATTCTGCTTCCAACTCCTTTACCTCCTGCTGTGGACTTTCTCTGTCATGATGGTGTTGTTAAAGACCATAAAGGTTGGAATCTTTTCTGTGTTGTTTACAAGGCCTGATCATACAAATAAATTAAAGACTCTGACCATGTATGTTCCCACTGGACTTGCAAATTCAGGCTAAATTTAGTAAAATTGCATTATGATATCTTACGTTTCACAAATAGAAAAAAAAGATCTGGCATCTCTACAAGGTAGAATAATGAAAACTGAAAGAATTTAGATCTGGGAAATAGACTGTTAGACTTGGCATGATTCTAGTCAGGAGAACCAAAGAGTTCTGTAGAGAATAATGCATTTATGTTGTCTCATGGTGCTCTACACTAATGATTTAAAATTTTTTTTTAGGGAGAAACTATTTCCAATTCACATCTTTGTATTGCTAGGGTCCATTTCTGCAACTGTTTTGTATTTGGAGGAAAAATGCCATTTAGATACTTCAAAGTTTGATTTGTAATGTCAAGTCCTATTAGAGGAAGAGGGGAAATACTTGGCTTAGTCTTTCATTGCTTCATCTCTTCTGGCACACCAGATGAAATGTCTTTCCACTACAGTCCTTTAGTAATGGACCTATGAAGTAATTTAGGTCTTCCTTATCTTTAAGAAGGAAATTAAAGCAGAAGAGTAAATGTCTAGTTTCATAAGATGAATTTGCATGAGTTGCTTGATGACTTTTGCCTCGAAATTGCCTTTCACTGCTTTAGTAATTGTAAGTTTTCTTAACAATCTAACAGGTTCTTGTGGAGCTGAATTTTGAATTTTTATCACGTTTCTTAAATGTCTGTAATCTTTATTTCCTTAGATTTGCTTATATTCCTTATTTCTAAATACTTTACGGTTGGACAAACAACAAATGTATGCTCTTCTGGTGTATTAAACCATGGTTAATGTATCAACTCTGAACATTTGAGAAGCCCAGAAAAAAGCTGGAACTTCTGATTTAGTGGGAACTTCTGTAGCAAATAAGTCTGTTACTTCCTATGCTAAATTGAGAACATTTTGCAGGCTTTGTATATGCTCACTGGGCTGCTACGGTTGGGCTCCACCATGTGAGACATTAGTGTTACTTGACTGTCCCTCATGACCTGTATTTACTTTCTAAGCTTTTCAGGAGTTAAAGCATATCTTTAAGTGAAACTCCAGTCTCTGGATCCTTGGAGTGTAGAACAAACCTTTTTTATGTCTACAGTATTTGAAGCACATGCTCAGATTCTGTAATAGGTTCTTAAAAACAACAGTTTTTTGCATTAGTAGTCATAGCATATATACGTGTCTAGGTAAAAGAATAAATGTGTACCTGCCTTATCCTGATTCTGCCGAAAACGTTGTGGAGCATTTCTGTGGTTTAGGTCAGTCTTCTAATGAGACTGTCTTTGTACATGTGACTTCTCACTGCTTTCATAGAGTCAAGCTGTCACTTCAGAAACCCTGGACTGTGCTTCCAACAGCTAATTAGGACCAATCTGTTACATAACACTTTTTCCTCTGCCTAGATTCTTGTCATCAGAGTATGTTAATTTAGGGTTGGAGTTTTTTTTAATCCCTCAGCTGCTTTTTTTTTTTTTTTGAGATAAAGCTTTAGCTCTTTACCACTTAGTTTTCCTTTGAGAAATTTCTAAGAGAAGCCTAAAGTGGAGGAAACTGCCTTCACTACAGCTTGAGTTACTTAGCTTTGAATGGGAAACATTTGGGTTTATTGTCCATTGTCTAGATAGTGGTCTCCAAAGCGTAGTGTGTGCACGACAATCCACTTGGGCGTAGGAAGGAAATATTTTTTGTAGAATTAATAAATAAAATGTTTCATCTTTATTGCATCCTTTTAAAAATTTCTATTTGTGTGTTTTATAATGTACATAATACTAATACATTAGTACATCTATGTAACTTAAACATTTTTTTAGGATCGAGCATATCTGTTCTTCAGCAGTTTTCATGCCATACCTATGTATGTTTCCCACTAGGTACCATGTAACCATGCTGTTGAGCTGAATGCAGCATGTCAGTGGGACAACTACAATTTCCTCAAAGTTGCTTGCACAGTTGTCAGCCCACTGAGGAACAGCAGCCATTTGCTTAAGAGATGTCACTGTAGCATGCATGTAACAGCTATGTGAGTAGTAAAAGGTTTTCTGTAACTATGAAGGAAGGATTCTTGCTCTGCAAAATGAAGAGTTTAGTTTGTTATGCAAGACATGCGCTATAAAAAGCAATTCTTGCCTCAGTAATCTTAAAACCAACAAATGAGCCTAAATTTCAGTGTCCTCTTAGGACCAACCCTGGGAAAACTAGTCATGTTCTCATCTGTTTGAAAATAAAGTCAATCCTGACAAATCATCTATGATGTATAATGCTTGTCAGCTTATAAGGAAACTGTGCAAATTACTGGGCATGCTGCAGAATTAATTTTTTATGTGAAGACTTCAGTACCAATCTGGCAGAATCAGCAAAGTGTAGATACTTGGTTAAAGAACTTCAATAGGGAGTTTTTACAAACTTTGTAATTCATACTTCTATGTCATTTCTTTAGTGAAATTGAATATAAATCAGTTGGAGTTTCAAAACTGAGAGATTGTACTGGTGTCTTGATATTTTTTTTTTTATTTCCCCCCAGCAAGATCATAATCTAATTTGTGGTATGGGAACCAAGAATATTCATAGTTCTAAAATAAGATGCCACAATGTGAGCGTATGCTTTCAGAAAAGTTTGTAAGGCCATATTGACACTACTTCCAACTTTTTGCAATTAAAAAGATGCACCAAAACTTCCATGCTTCTGCACTGAAAGTTTACCCCTTCAGAATCACATATGCCTGTGTTAGTCATTGATGCCAGAAGAAGAAACCATAAAAGGCTGTCCTGATCAAGAGATGGGTTTGTGATTCCTCTTCTCCAAAGAGACCCGCTTTGTAATTGTCAGGGAAATGAACTTAATTTTGCTGAAGATACAAGGTATGATGCAGAGACTGTAAACTCATAGAAAAGCTTTGTTGAATTCATGTGACTTAAGAAGCTCTCGGCACCCTATTATTAATTTATTATTATATGTATGGCAGGCAACCCAAAGTTATCTTGACGAATGTCCTGAGGACGAAAATAGGAAGAAAATACACACAGGTGCAACCTAAAACTGGTGCTAATTTTTCTGATGCTGGCAAACTGCAGTCAGATCAACCACCCTCATCATCTGCTGCCAGCCTAAAGATATGGCAGATTTTAAACCCTACTCTCCAAAGCCTTTTTCTGTCTAAAAGGTACGTTGTCTTCGCCTTGTGTCACTAAACAAAATAATTTTCCTTGCAGTTGTTTTTTCATGAGAAAGTATTCTTTGTTGTACCACAGCTGTCTTGTTCATGAGCTATATTCTCATTTTCATGTCATCTGACTTGATTGAATTCCCTTGTACCTGATTCCTTTTGATAACCATTGAGAGAGATGGTGCCAGGCACGCTTTAGTGGGTTGTCTGATCAGATAGTTTCTGGATAGACCGGTACTGACAAGACCAATTAATTCTGATTCAGCCGTTGAACTCTCAAAATGTCTGAGGTTGGTTGTTTTTTTTCTTGTGAAAAGAACACGCTTGCATTTAAGTGCCCTCTTTTCTCAGAGAAAGTATCAAGGTGTATTTTCACTGTTACCGTTTCAGACTACTCATGAAAATAGGACAACTTGCATAAAAGGTCAGAAGAAAAGCATATCAAGTCCAGTATCTTCCTCCCTCCAAAGCAGTGGTCAATCGCAGATAGCCAGGGAAAAGTATGGCTAGAGTGAATGCTTTCTTCACTGGGTTTTCTCTCTCAGCTTCTGATGGTAAACACTTTAGGGACCTCCTTTATTGGAGGTTACATCCAGACTACGGTGTTCTTCTCTATTAGACTTTTCCTTTCAATCATACCCTAATTGCATATTACCTCTGTGCCTCTGCAACACCTTGTCTGTAAGTAGTCTCCTCATTAAAAGTAAATTTACAGCTCAGTGCAAGAGGAGATGTGAGTGCTCACCAGACATGACACAGTCTGTGCTGGCATGTGGTTTGTGGATGAATGCAGACAACAGGAGAATTACGCAGTCGATACTCAAAAGACAATGTTGTTCATAACAGATTTAAAAAATGCCATGACATTACATCCTAATCCAATATAAATTGCAGTGGTAGAATTTAAATCCGAGTTTGAGAAACTAAGTGGGTAAATCAAGGGCTACACCGCAACCTGGCTGCAGTGGCATTGTATGAAATAAGTTGTGCCGCTCTTACATATGTGCACTTAAGTGGGCCATTGCATCTTCATATTTCTGGTTAGCTTATTTTTGATGCTTCTCTCTTCTAACACTTGGGGATGTTTTTCTGAGCCTTGCTATTGCTATTATGTAGAATCCTACCTGAAGTTCAGGAGGGGAACAGAATCTAATGCTACTTTTTTGTGTATGTGCTGTCTTTCTACCCGTTGACTAAGTGCTTGAGAAAATTCAGTCTATTTTACTGGAGGCTTCTTGTTCACAGGAAAATCAGGATTGTTTGCTCCATAGTTCTGAGAAATGTATACAGATATTGCATGAAAGCTATTTAGAAATAAACATTTACCAGTTTTTAAATGCTACTTAGGTGATGTGTTAGAGGCAATGCAGTGTAAACTGTATCTGGCTAAGGTGAAGTTATATGGGTAGCATTTCTTACCCTGATCTCTTGTTGCTTTTTTGTGTTTATTTGCTTATCTTGGATTTTAAGTTCCTTAGTGGGATTTTGTTTTGTCTCTAAAGGACTGCAGGTAATGATGTTTGATTATCAAGCCTCTAAGATACATGAATTTAACAAGAAGTTTCTTTCTCTAGATTTCAGTGCAGTATTTATGATTTACTGTTATATATATGGCAGGCAACCCAAAGTTATCTTGACGAATGTCCTGAGGACGAAAATTGGAAGAAAATACATAGACAGCCACGTAATAATTGATGCAAATTTATCTGCTGCTGACAAATTACAATCGGGCCAACTACCCTCATCATCTGTTGCCAGCCTACAGACATGTCAAATATTAAGTTCTCCTCATGAAAGTTCTTTTCTGTCTGAAAGGTATGTTACTCACTGCTGATTTTGCCAGTCTTCCTGAAATGACATAACTTTGCAATGGAAAAGAATTTCCCTGAAACAATTTTTGTTATACTCATGCCTTGAAGCAGGAGATTAGTTTCCTGAGTGCACATTCACATGCTGCTCCAGTGAGCCGTTCTAACGTTGCATTTATTCTGATTTGCTGTACCTGATGTTAATAGGCTACTTTTCTTTCATAGAAGGAATTTTGATTTGCAATAGATCAGTGTTTTGATTTGTGAAGATGGCCAAGTAATTCAAACACATTTAAGTTGGTTTTGTGTTCAGAACCAAAATCTTGCTTTCCTCTTGGTGTTAATGTGTTGTAGCATGATTTCGAGTAACTTCTTTTTCAAAATTTCTCCATATTATTCTCTGTGGTAGTTCATTTCTTTTCACATTAATCCACCAGTGGTCTCAGTCCCAACAGAGTGCTGTTGTTTAAGGGCTATGTGTGTGTCCTGTCATTGCTTAATATCTACTTTTCCTCTTTTTTTCCTATGTTTAAGTTGACTGAGTATCACAGTAATGCTTAACATATAAAACTAGCAGAAATCAGATACTAGAATTATATAACATTTGTTTTGGTCTAAGATGGCAGTTGAGTTCAGGGTAAGCTGTTTCCTCTTGTCTTTTATGACCGCCTCTTTGCTCAACAGCAAGTATCCACAGGAGCAAATAGCAAGAAATATTGGGGAAGAAAATAGCAAGAGAAGAATGATTTGTGAGGGCAGAAATAATGAACAGTTCCCAGGTTAAAGAAATCTTAAAAATTCTTGAGAAAAGTCAGTCATATTCCTCATTCTGATACATGAAGATCTTTAGAATGAGAACCTAAATTAGTAAGAATTCCTTTCTCTTTTTCTGTTGAGATCCCCATTGCTGCTGAAATTAATCTGACAAAGCTGCAATTTCAATGAGATATTTAGAACAGTTTTTTAGACTGTCTCATTTTAGAAGTATTACATTTGTTGCTAATAAATAGTTTTGCATAAATTTAGGCTGACTGAAGTGTGGGGAGTTTAGATTGTTGAGGGTATTTTTGTTTTACTGCAAGACCTTTAAGATTTATTTTTAGTATCTGCTTTTCCCACTTGGTATTGTTTTGGATGATGGGAGGTAGCGGGTTCATAGAGAAAGAAACACGAACTCTTGTATGTAACTCTTGACTTGCTGAGGTGATCAGCTCCAGTGCAGGCACGGAAGGCGCCGTTTCAAAGGAGGGACATCCTGGTAGCTGAGTGGAGAGACTTGTACACATAACCCAGCAACTGGGCACTGTGACCATCTGCAGAGGTCAAGGGCACTCATCCTGCCTGACCCTCAAGATAGAATGGTGGGCCCTCATCTGAGAGCAAAGGCTGCAGCTCCGGCTGGGAGGTCTGTGCCATCTACCCCGGCGGTGGCCAGTGCCTCCACCCAGATGGAGCTGCTGAAGGAAGAGACTGCAGTGCAGACCTCAGACTGCAGAAAGTGCCTGGACCTTTCTCCTGGGGCAGGGACAGGCAGCAGACCTGCCCTCAAAAGGCGTGCCAAGGTAGAGGAGCTCCTGCAGGGGGTGGTGAGAAGGCTGCATAACATCGGGGAGGCTGAGAAGGAGCTGGATGACTGATTCCAAGCACAATCTGCATTGGACCCACAGCTGATGGCCAGACAGCTAAAAAATCCTGCACTGGCACATACAGAAGAGAGGGGGGCCAATAATGCAGAAGAATGGAAGCTTGCAGTGGCAAGGACCTGCAGGGGGAAGAGACTTCCCCTGAAGACTGGGGTGCCCTTGCAGAACCGCTTCACTACTCTGCAGACTGAAGAGGGAAGACCCGTCACATCAGGAGAGACACTGGAGCCGAGTAGGGCAGCCTGATCTGCTGCATGTATAACAACCAGCGCAAATAAGAACAAGCGACAGGTGACAGTAGTAGGCGACTTGCTCCTGAGAGGTACAGAAGTACCCATGTGCTGACCTGACATGCTCTCTAGAGAGGTGTGTTGCTTACATGGGGCTTGTATTGGGGATGTCACCAAGACTACCAAGCCTTGTACAGTCCACTCGCTATTATCCACTGCTGTTGTTTCACGTGGGCACCAGTGATCGAGCCAGGAGCAGTCTGAGGAGTATTAGGAAGGATTACGGAGCCCTGGGAGTGGCAGTAAGGGACTCTGGAGCACAGGTAACTTTTTCATCAGTTCTCCCAGTCAAAGGGAAGGGGGTTGAAAGGGCCAACTGAATCTGGCAAATCAACATATGGTTACAGGACTGGTGCCACAGCCAGGCGTTCAGCTACTTAGACCATGAGACTTGCTTTGAGAAACCTGGTCTGCTGGGAGCTGATGGGGTCCATCTGTCAGAGAAGGGGAGGAGCATCTTCAGTCATAGGCTTGCCAAACTGGTGAAGAGGGCTTTAAACTAAAATTGCCGTGGGAGGGGAACCTCAATGCATCCCACTCCTACTAGTTTGATGCCAGTGCCAGCAATAGATGCCTAGAGCCTGGAGAGGGATCACAGGTCAGCAGCAGAGCAGCTGAAGAGCAGCACAAAGGAATCCCAGCCACTCCAGCCAGTAAGTCAGCTTCATCGGGGACCCAACTGAAATGCAAATGCTTGTAGCATGGGGAATAAACAACAGGAGTTAGAGATGTGTGCATGCCCGCAGGGTTATGATCTTATTGGCATCACAGAGACTTGGTGGGATGACTCCTACAACTGGAGTGTTGGAATGGAAGGATACAGGCTCTTTCGGAAGGACAGGATGGGGAGACGAGGAGGGGGTGTCGCTCTGTCAATGACCAGCTGAAGTGCATGGAGCTCTGTCTTGGGGTGGATGAGGAGATGATAGAGAGATTATGGATCAGGATTAAAGGGAGGGCAGGGACAGGTGATGTTATAGTGGGTGTCTGTTACAGGCCACCTGACCAGTAGGACTGAGCGGATGAAGCCCTCTATAGGCAGATATGAGCATCCTCACGTTCACAAGCCCTGGTCCTCCAGCCACCCCAATATCTGTTGGAGGGACAACACAGCAGGGCATAAGCAATCCAGGAGGTTCCTGGAATGTGTTGATGATAACTTCCTTCTCCAAGGGATAGAGGAGCTAACAAGGAGAGGTGCTATGCTGGACCTTGTTCTCACCAACAAGGAGGGCCTGGTGGGGAACGTGAAGCTCAAGGGCAACCTTGGCTGCAGTGACCATGAAATGGTAAGAGTTCAAGATCCTTGGGGTAGCAAGAAGGGTTCACAGCAAGCTCACTGCCCTGGACTTCAAGAGAGCAGACTTTGGCCTCTTCGGGGAGCTGCTTGGTAAAGTACCATGGTATAAAGCCCTGGAAGGAAGAGGGGCCCAAGAAAGCTGGTTAATACTCAAGGATCACCTCCTCCAAGCTCAGGAGTGATGCATCCCAACAATGAGGAAGTTGGGCAAAAACACCAGGAGGCCTGCGTGGATGAGCAAGGAGCTCCTGGACAAACTCAAACACAAACAGGAAGCCTACAGAGGGTGGAAGCAAGGACAGGTAGCCTGAGAGGAATACAGAGAAATTGTCCGAGCGGCCAGGGATCAGGTTAGGAAAGCTGAAGCCCTGGTAGGATTAAATCTGACCAGGGATGTCCAGGGCAACAAGAAAAGCTTCCGTAGGTACGTTGGTGATAAAAGGAAGACT